TTCTTCATTAAACTTATTCTCCAATGGTGCAGACTGATTAGGTTGAGTTCTGAGTAAAACCAGTAAGATTTTTGGCAACTGGGAGCTTAAAATGGCAGAAATGAGGATGTCATTAAATAAAATACACCAAGAAGAAATTCAAAATATCCTCCAATGCCTTCCTCGACACTTGTACTGCGTTAGTTCTTAAATTTTTCAATCATGCACTTAATTGTTCTGTATTAGATCTTCAAAACTTGGGATGTTGCTTTAATACAAGCTGAGACAGTTAAGCTTGTATTAAACATATCAGCTTTATTCCTGCGTTTCTCTTCATGACTTTGTTCTGTGATAAACCTCTGCATTCATCACAGAACAGCTGCAGTCATGGGTGAATCTATTCGCAAATTGCTGGTAAACTGCACTGCATTTCACTTAGGCCTATCAGAGTAAAATAGGCTGAATGCAAATTGTATCCATGCCTAAAAAACATTTATGGTTTTCTTTCATCTCGCAGACAAAATATTTCACTATAAACACAATAGTAAAATTATTAAATAGACATGGAAATGAAAAATTCATCAAAAAAAAAAAGACAATAGAGCTGACAGTAATGCTCAAATGCAATGCTTGTCTGAATAAAAGCACATTCAGCTGCTTTTTAAATATGATAATGTATATGGAGTGAATAAAAAGAGGAAATGTGACAAAATGTGAAAAGGTTTAAGAGGTAGAAATGCTCCTTCCGGGGCTCCGTGTTGTTGATAAAGTCAAATCCTTTTGGTATTCTAGATTGTTGTCCACTAGACGCTGACCGCCCTGCAAACACAGAAGGTGTTGGCAGTCCTTCAGCTGGTGCTAACAAATTGAATAAAGGGGAGCCAAAGGTCACCGAGATCAAAGCAAGATTGCGTCGTCACAGCACCGGCGCCCAGACTCCAAACTCCAGACCTTGACTGCCACTGTCCTGCAGCTTTCGGATGCGTCCCAGCTACAATGCATCTTTATCAAATTAATGGTTAATGAGAAGGCTTTTTTAAAACTTGCCAACATACCAGGGAGGTAATTCATCCTTCGGAGCAGGGATGCATCCAAAAGTTGCAGGACAGTGGCATTTATGGGCTGGAGTTCCACCGATCTGGAACATGAAGGTGTTTTTACACACTTCTGACAGCTGCACAGTTTGCTGGTTGTGGAGGTTGAGTAGTTGCTAGCTCTACTTATGAGAACAGGACCTTAAAGGCTCTTGGGTTGGGCAAGAAGGTGAGAAAGATGTGACGTCTCTCAAACCTTTCAGACTGTCATATTTGATGGGATTTAAAGCAGCGCTAAGGGTTTCGGAATAAATGCCATGCCGCATTATCTTCAGGGGTGAGCAAGGTTGATTTTGATTTGCTCCAAAAACTTGACATCATTAAGGACAGCCTGTCCTGAGGTGACAGCTGTCCACCTGGTAACACGTCTTCTTCAGCTTCCTGTGTCAGCGCTTGCATCATCATAATTCGCATAAGGTCTTCACACTTTTCTTCGCTTCTGAAAACTTTGAGACCCATCACTATCCAGTGCCTCAAAGTGTGCGACGAACGGAGGGGCTGCTTGTGTCTGCTTTACTTTTCATACCTTCTTTTCCTGCTCCACTTCTCTGAAGGTGATGGATGCTCTTGAAATCCGCAGGGACAGCCAGTCATTTGGCCCTCAGGTAAAGTGAATCACCCTGCATGACTGTGCTTAGGGGCTGGGGAGTGTTACGATTAGAAAGTAAGCGGTATGGCAGTGAGTTTGGGCCGTGTTCGTGACGTTTCAGGGTCGCATTGTCATGCAGCACGTAAAGCAGCCTGCAGGTCACACTGTGGGCCGGGGAGCAGCCGGCGACTGCCGCTATCCATTTGAGGTGACAATACGCCGATGTCACAAAGTCCTGGCTGTGGCTCTGCGGCGCTGTGCCTCTAGGTGTGCATTTGTTGGTGTCAGGAAGGTTTTACAGCCATCTGCACTCCATCAACTCTGGTGCTGCTCACATAGATCAGGTAAGAGGTCCAAAAATATAACCGTGTAGCATCACAAGAAAGTGCTGTTTGTTGTTTATCCAATGCTTCGCAAAAGTATTTCTAGCACTTTGTACTTACTGGGATGTTGCAACTGCTAACTTTACTGGATTTTAGGAGGATTTTATGCAAGACCTCTACAGAGTAGTGCATAATTAGGAAAGGGAAAGAAAACAAATTTTTACAATTAAAAATCTGGAGAAAAAAAAAAGTAAACCAATTTGACATTCAGTGCAACCAATTTCTTTCAGAAGCCACCTAATTTAGGAATACAATCCACCTGTGTGTGATACAGCTGTTACGTTTCTTGTTCTTATGGCACATCCTCAAACTACTGACAGGTTTGATGATGAGAGCAGAAAACAAAGAAGCAGCCGAGAGGTTCACAGCAACTCTGCAGGAGCCACAGAGATCTACAATTCATGTGTAAATAAAAAACTGACATAAGTCGTCCAGCTCCCAAATCTGGTCTTAAAAGCATTGCTAAAAAAAAAAAAAAACAACAAAAAAAAAAAAATTAAGTCTTGTTTGCCACAAACATGTGAAAGAAGGGGATCTGACCAGGTGATATAAAGAAAAGCAACTTTCTGACCTACAAGCATCATGTTGTGATGGAAACTGATCCGAGGCAAAAATAAATTGAACTAAATAAAGACAAATCAGTAGAACCTGTGAAAATGTTGGAGGAAAACTTGAAAAGAATAAATTATTCAGCAGAACAACAAGCATGAACCCAATGCCAGCAATGTAATATATTAGTAGACATTATGAGTTAGAATTTTTTAAAGTTCAGACTGAAATCCAACTCACCAAAAAAGGAGAGAGGAGAGGAAAAGATTTGCAAAGCTTGTGGAGAGATTACCTAAAACACTCGGAGCTGTAACTGCAGGACTGAGCGAATACAACAGCAGGAGACTCCTCAAATTTTTATTTGTAAAAAGAAAAATATATATATCTTTTCAGCCACGTCTCCTTTGGCTTTCACTTTACATCAATACAAAATTTGGGGTATAAATACTTTAGCAAGGCACAGTAAACCGCAAATGTCACCCTGCATCTGAATTGATCATCTCAACGAATCCCTGTGCACCGTCTCATCCTCTGCCAGTCTTATTTTTCCCCCTTTGCTGCAGCACATTTAGAACAATTGTTGTTCCTCACATGTATTGTTTTCAAAGTGAAAAACAAAGCTTTGAGCTTTAAAAGATGGTCTCCAGCTGACTACAAACACAAAAGATGGAGGTTGATGCTCTCCACCACTGCCTCTGCTGAGCAGGCTACCCTTCAAACGTTCAGACAGCCATGAGAAACCCCAGAGACCATCAGTTCCTCCTCTGTATCCTGCTCTCACTGCAGCTGCTCCTCTACAATACACACACACACACGGCATTCATTTCATACTAATGTCCTCTTACTATGCCTCCCTTTTTCACCCAAGCATCTGGAGGTGAAATGGATCTCAGAGGGGGATAGAAAACAGGAAGCCACAAAGTACGGTTAAAGCAGGCTCAAAGGCTTCCAGGAATTAATTGAAAGCAGCTGGATCTTGATGTTTACCAAATTACTGCTTATTTTTTGCCATATTATGAGTCATTCAGAAATGCACGGTATAGACAAATTAACGTGAACCCCTGCAGAACAGCAGCTGTGCAGTCAAATTAAATGAAACTGGAAATGATGATTGTTTGCCGAGGATGTGAGCAGTGTTGGCTTTTCAGTTTCTCCTGCTACAAATGTGGCAAAAGACAACCCATTTCCTTTTTGCACCATTAAGAGACAGGGTCATCCTTTTCTAGTTGTATATCACATTAGCATATCTCAAACACTTGTCATTTTAAGTTTGTTGCAGTCACAACTTTTGGCGTCGGCCATGTTTAGCAGTGTTTAAACATTTAATTGTTCCTTCAGGTATAGGAACTTTGGTCGATGACTTTCTCCAAACCTGGGAAAGCTAGTCAAGTGACCGAGGTTCAGCTTTAGCCTTCAAGCCACTGACCTGAATAAGGATCCACATTTACTCACCAGGTCTCAACCATTAATTGCATCTACCTTACAAGTGATTTGAAATTTCAGAGAAAAATGATAACTGAAATTTATTTCAGTTATTAGTCATGCGAGGTCTGCTAAATACTACTGGATCCATTTTAGTCAGATAAGAGTTTGACACTCGGATCAATTTGGCATGAAAAAAAAAAAAAGGGAAGCAACTTCTGCCCATTGTTAAGTACTGTACATGTGGACCATTTTCTCCAAACACCTAGGACATGAAACGTGTTCTAGCTGCATTCCAGTTGTCAAAATCTGAACCACCCTGTGAAGTCTAATTTCTCCCTGGAAGCAACTTTGACTAACCCAGTTACAACCTGCAAGGCTCACTTTACACCTCAGGAGTTAGATGGAGTTTCGCTACAAGACAACGGAGCCCCCTCTAAAAATGTTACCTACAACTAAAGTTTTTGGAAAGTAAAGCTTAAAATGTTTGAGGTGCTGCAAACAATGCTTTGGCAGCACCATGAGCTACTAGAGCGTCATTACCTCAGGTGTGATTAAAATCCAGCTTAGAGTTGACTGGACCTCAGCATAAGACTGTGTAGTGCAAGTGCTGATAACTGGGTCGCTTGGGTTTAACAGCTTTAAGAGGCCTTTCAGTGACATTCCCCCTCCCATAAATACAGCATGCTTCACAGGAGGTTTTACTCTGCAGGCAGTAGAAAAGGTTGACACTAGACAAAAAAGGACCACATGATTGGACCCTCGCTCTACAGATAAATATGGGCAGTTTTCGCATTTTTTTTGCAAGCTGTCTTGCTAAACTTTGAGCCGTTTCGCTTTAGTGAAGCTTGATCTAGTTGAGGCACATCGCTTTAGATAAGAGGGAACAAAACATAAAATCTTAGACTCTTGTAACACATCACATTTGAAACATAAATCTTTGAAAACACAATGCTGCCATCTAGTGGTAAAGAGTCCACAATGTTAGAGCAAAATAAAGTTTTATTGAATTACCAAATATATAAACATACAAAAAAATCACAGCATATGAAAAAATTAAACAGCTGTAGACCCCTCAGAAGGCACAGCAACATCCTGTAAATAAAGCAGACAGATGAAGTAAACTCCTTACACGATGTCGCTCAATGAGACTGCAAGTCATCTCACCGTGTTCACGTCCTCGATAATGACACCCCTCCCTGAAATATCAAGATTACTTTCTGTATCGTCTGAGGCGAATTCCTCACTGTCCGTCTCTTCTGTGGTGGTCTGAGAAAGACAAAACCCTTCAGGGTCAACATATCAGACATCTACAAATAGCTGAATAACTTTAGAGTTGTGGCCGTTTATTTAGAGGCATTGGATTTAAGCTAGTCAAGAACACCAGCTAACATAGGTGTCCAATTATGGTAGTCAACTAGTGTCTGGCTTTTCTGTGTTCAACTCGCATTAAAGGACACATTTCTACAAAAGTCAGACTGCAGTTATCTAATCACGTGCATGTGTTGGATCAGCAACACATGCACAAGGCGACACCAATACCAACTGGCCTGACATGTCAATTAATGAAAGCTCATATGAACAAACCTCGTAGTCAGGATCATTTGAGTAGTCATCATCATCTGGAAGTTCCTTAGAAAGCGCAATCACCCAGGATGGCTCCTCATCGTAGTCGTCGTCAAGCTCATCTATTTTTCTCTTGCTGCCTTTTCCAAATGGTTTAGTAGGAGAAACGCTGACGTCTGTTTAGAGAAAATGCAGAACCACCTACAATAATCCATAGCGTCACAGGTAGATGAAGCTCCACTCATGAATATACTGGTTGAGTAAAGCAACTATCTGAAGCTCATCTGCCTTCCAGAAAAATGCAAGTAAACTAGTCATTGCATGAGATTAAAGTAGCTTTTACAGCAAGATGCCCCTTTCAGACAGATTCAACTATACACGTTTCATACATGCAAACTGAAAAAAATAAATTCTACCAATTATAACAAGCTTTATATTGTACAGGTAATGAATGGGTGGACTCATCAGTGCAAGATAGAGCCATAAGCCCTAGCTGGCCAATACTAGAGTGAATTGTAATGAAAATATATAGAGCCACTAGTTGAGAACAGTGTAAGCCAAGGTTCTTGCACTTAATTTAATTTATTTCCTAGATAAACTTAGCATTTCATGTGAACACTTTAGAGCCAAAGATGATTTTTAAAAGCATGAAAACTTGTAGAACCAATCTCTAAGAACAGATTGGTTCTACACCAGGGGTCTTCAACATGCAGCTTTGGTCAAATAAAGTGTAAACATAAGAAATAAATTCCAACTTCAGCACAGAATTTAATATAGCTTATATCTTCAAAGAGTTTGTCATTTACATAAAAAAAATATATATATATTCTTAATTTTAAAGCCTATGCAAAATTTTGACATGCTGAGGTGGTAGTTGGAGTAGAAACTCAATTAAAACTGGCAGGTCTGGAGCCGGACGTCCATGTTTTAACGTGAAAACAAAATGGGCTACTTACCTGGGGACAACGAACGCCCAATGCTGCGGGACACCGGGTAGCCCAGGGCGGCCTGCGCCCAGCAGGGCAGGATGCGCAGCAGCAGCCGGGTGAACCGGGAGAGGCGCTTATGGCCAGTGAGGCTGTGACGTGCCGGGCTGGAAGCCACGGAGCAGGAGAGGCTTTTCAGCTGAGGCACCCACACAATTCCGCGGAAGACCCTTGCCTGGAGTCGTGCACAGAGTTAGTCCACGCCCGAGGAACCTTCCCTCCTTGTTGGTTTTGAAACAAAAACTTACAACGATGCTGAAAGGCCAGAGGAGGCCGCGCACAACAGAGCGAAACACGCCGTCTCTCCTCACCACTTTGCCCTACAGGTGGAGACACAGACGGGGAGACGCGCCGAACAAACGGACTGATCACAGACACATGGCGTGTTTCAGAGTTTACCCTCACCTCAGAGTTCTCAGGCTGCGCCACAGCGTCCCCGGAGGCTTCACAAGACATGGTACTGCGGGACAAAGCCTGGACCTGCCGGGTCTGCAGCGAGGGAGAGACGCTCATGAATATCACTGAGAGTTTTGGGGCCTAACATGTATTTTTCTGTTACGTCGATGTGGCCAATGAGCACCGACAAACGCACCTGGTGTAATCAGGACAAACCAATAGACACGTCCAGCTAATTAACGCAGAATGCGGAATGTGGGCCAAGTGTGCGGAACCTTCATGTTTTCTGTTTTATCATTTAAAGGAAAACGGCATTAAGACACACAATGTTTAGCAAATGTTTGGATTTTTTTTTTCAGTCAATTAACAGATACTCCGAAAAATAAAATAAAAAATAAAACACATTTGCCAAAAAAATAAATATATACATATAGACAAATAAGGCAAAAAGTGGAACTTTTCAAAGGGTTTCCACCCTTTCACATCTGGTTTAGAACTACAACAGCATTTCAGATAAGAAACATTTTGCTGACAGTCAAACATCACAGCTGTATTGCTCAACTAAGAGCATTTATTTAGTATTGCAGTGTACAAACATAAAAAAAGGAAGTGATGTAGACATATAGATTAGGTAAGGATATTTTACAAAGATTTTGCAACTGCTGTTCATGTGGTTTGTTTCACATTGAATGAACAACAGATACACATTTACATCTATTTCCACCCAAACGCCAACTTATATTTTAGCAAAACACCCACAAAGTAGTTTAATTTATTCCTCTGCACTTGGAAGCAATATTTTTAAAAAGCCATACATTCTTCTGTGTGGGACTATTTGGTTTCTATCAAAATAACAAATTTTTTCAACTCCACTTGAGTAATCCCTCATTGATAATGAAATCTAGCCCTGAAACATTTCTATCGTAACAAAAGTGTTGTGGTCTAATATCAGATCACTGCTTCGGGGCTCGAGAGGCAGACAGATGCTGTTCCTGCTCTTGTTGCTACTTTGCATTTGAAGAGCTTTGAGAAACAAGTCCTTAACCGTGCTTCCATACGAGTGCGGCTCTCTAATTGGTAACCATTTCCGGGTGGAGTTTCTGTCACGTCTCCGTATCCTTTTATGCGTTTGAAGAAAAAAAACCAAACAGGTGCAACTAGATGAATATAAAAGCCTCCTGTTGCCCCGCCTTTTGTCAAGCTACAATCAAACCTGCGCAGCGGCAGTGGAAGACCCTTACAAAATGGATAAGCAACCAGTGATGAGAACATTCAGTTTTGGTGCTATATGCAGTGGGAGCAAAGCTTCGGGTGATCTCTCCACAACCAGGAGGCACAGCGGCAGCAGTGCGGGGATCCGGGCCCTGCTGTGGGCCACCAGCAGCGCAAAGTCCTTTGGATGCTCCACAGACTCACAAACAAGCCGAGAAAACATCTTCGCCAACATCCTGACACCTGATAGCATCCCACAGTTTACCATACCAAGTCTGTCAGTACAGACCAGTTTACGGTCACTGGACAAGGAGGCAGAGGACAATGAAGCAGAGTCAGAGGGAGAATTAAGGAGCTGTGGGGCTAACGTCTCTTCATCTTCATCCTCCTCCTGCTCCAGTTTGCTGCTGTCAGGCCGCAAAGCTGAGCGGTGTCTTTCAGACCCTTTAGCCAAGAGGAGATCTTTCCGTCAGCGGGACGTACCATTTCCTCCCTCCAACAAAAGCGCCCTTTACTGCCTGGACCCGACGAGTAAGGCCGCTCTGTCCCTGCCCCACCTCACCAAGGTCACCACACCATACGGCTTTGTGACTTTAAGCCAGAGCCCACAGATGGCGAGTGAGGAGGCGCTGCTCTGTCAGGCCGGATTGCACCGCCTATACAGCGACAACAAGGCTTCTAGTGCCGTTTGTGCTTCAGGATCCAACGCGGCGGTCGTCAAAGGGGACTGTTCCCACCTGTTAGGAGCCAAGAAGAAGCCATCCAAAGACTTTCCTGTTTCCCAGGGCGGAGAGAGTTCACTGAGAGGAGAGCCGCACGCTTCCCCATCCGCCTCAAGTTCTGCTTCCTCTACGCCAAAGCCACCAGATAAGCTAAAACGACGCTTCTATCACATAATAAAGAAACATTTAATATAACACACTGACAAAAGAAGTTTGACTTTCAATGTCATTTGTGTCAACTGTGTAAGCTGGTTAAAAGTATGCATTTGATTATAATATGTGTCGTTTCCTGCAGCTGTAAAACGTAAAAACCTGCATGAATAATTGAGTCTGACAAACATTTCTGGTCCAATTGAGTCCAAATTTCAAATAGTTTAATTCATTAAGAGATAATCCTCTATTGTGATCATCCTTCATCAATGTACTGGTGCCACTGGCTCTGAAACACGCCCTCAGCATGATGCATCCATCACCATGCTTGTGAGTTTGTATGGAGTTCTTTAGATCATGTTCACACTTCCAAATATTCTCCAGTTTTTGTTGTTGTTGTTTGTTTTGTTTTTTTACATATTTATTCTGAACATATCAATTTACTTTCAAGAGTGAATGAATGTTTGGGTTAAAAAAAATTTGTGCGTAAATACAAGTGAGTGCTCCAGAAAGGACAACTATCGAAAAACACTCATCCGAATTGGTGTTGAAATGGGGAAATTAGGCTGACATTAACTATAAAATGCTCTCCCCAAACCTCTGGCCTTAGGAAAATGTGTCGACTATGTTTGAATTTCAAGAATAGTGGTTGAATTTGCTTCCAAAAAAAAAATAAAAACACGTTACTGGCTACAAAAACAAGTTTCAAGGAGCAACAAACACTTTTAGTTTCTCTGCTTTTCTACGGGACATTTGACAAAGTATTAGTGGGAATGTATGTATATTTTTGACCCGAATGAATGGGAGAAAATTCACTGTAAATGCAACTCAATTCTTGTTTTGTAAATTCATTGATGACATATGTTGCATAATTATTCCACACCTGTAAAATAATGGTTCGAATGCATCATTAAAAAGAAAGAAATCAAAACGGTAGCACGCTGTATTGCTGTATAAATCTGACTGGATTTATAGTTTGACGCCCTGATGGGCCAATCTTCAGGCTACCTGCTTCAGTTTGTATCAATGTTTCCACAGTCCCGCTTCAGCGATGTGTTCAGAGAAACCAGACCTGCCCCTCTCACGGCCGAAGAGGTTCGCTGAAGAGGGTCTTAATGTTGATCACTCGATGCGTCCATCTGCCACCCACTCACCGAAATGTGGAGGATAAATCGCACTGTGACGCAAACGGCGATGGAGCTGCTCCTTCAAACACGAATTTAAATTTATAATCTCGCTACTATGTGGTTTGTTTATTTGCATGACGTAAAAGGTTTCTCCTGAGTGCTTCTGGGTAATCAAGGGTTTTGGCTTTAATGAAATTCAGCCTCTAAAGCGTTTACAAAAGCAGGAGCAGGCAGTGAGGAATGAATGGGAGACAAAATAATGGATGTTTAATTTCTGAGAGCCTTCTAGTAATCAGGAAGAGAAAATTCAGAAAGCAGATTCAGTATGCAGCCCAAACAAATACAGAGCCTCTAGAAAAACACAATAAAACGGCATCTGTGAGCCCATTAATATTCACACCTCTGGTCGAGTTAAATCTAAACTTGTTTTTCATTCAGCCAGGAAATTTGTTTCTAGGAAATGAGACAGGCATCGCTCAAACGACAAGAAAAACAATATAAAATAAGTTTTAAAAAACAAGTGTTTCAATACATTTTCTTAAAAAAGTAATTTAAAAAAGGATTTTTGCTCATGCAAATAGCAACTGAAAATGTATTTATTCATTAGTTACATTTTATTTTTGGTGATGAACCCCAAATCTTAGAGATTGGAAGCATCTCCTTGAGCTTCAACCACAAGTTTTCTATTTAGACTTTTGAGTTTATTAATATTTATTTTATGTGTAAAACTTTTCCCTTCCAAACAAATGAAGTCTTTCTTTAGTGTTTTTTAGTATGTGCCAAATAGTATGGATCCACCGTGCAAGGGATGAAATTATGACTTTTATTATTTTTTTACACTTTTTCACATTATTGCAGCAGCAAAGTAAACTACTATGCAAGAAGGACCATTAAAAAGAGACACTGCTGTGCAATAAAGCTATGCATGAAATAAGGTAGCTGAGAATATCAGAGGCAACTGAAATTTCACATTTTTCTTTGATTGTATAAACAAGTGAGAAAAAAAAACAGTAAGAATACTTAAGCAGAAAGACATCTGCTTTAACTTTAACTTTAACTTTGCACACTGCTTTCGTGCACAAATGATATCCAGACAGAGAGAAGGAACCATCATCTAGTCATAATATATATGACATCAGCATCAAGTACTAGAATCTGATCATGTTTTACTCCAGAGGAGGAGGACAGAAATAACACCATGACTAGTATGTTCAGTGGAAACAGGAATCGGTCATACTCTGCCAGGATTCTGGTCAGTCAGAACAATGCAGTGTAATTCCTGTTGAGTAAAGCAGGTGACTGAGAGCGATTCTCAGATTTGTGAACTCCGTCTTTGTTTCTGCTCTCATATGGAAGTGAAAATTCAAATGAAAACGAATCACGGGAATGTTATCTCCTTTTTTTTTAACAAGGGAGATTTAAATACCAACATTTTGATATTGTTTTAGTCTTAAAAACCACAACTGTCTTTTTTTAATGCGACTCCTAATGCAGGAGTGTAAACAGATGTTGGTCTTCTTGTTTTCTCTTAAAAACCGAGTAAAGAAATGCAAAAAAAAAAAAAAAAGTAACAATAAGCTATTATTCAATTTTATTGTAGTTATTTACCGATTTAAGGTATTTAGAAAACATATCTGGCTAAGAAATAGAAAAAAAAAACCATTCTATTCATATTTCTGTAAGCAGACACTTAAATGTGAAACCACCATGTGGCTGTTGTGACATTAGAAGGCACTGTCTCTTCCGTACACCTTGTTCTCAGAGAGCAATGCGGCAGATTTGGCTCTGTTAAATCACCATTTAGACTCAGACATGATTAATAATTAGGCTACATGTCATTGCAAATTCTCACACCACACTGGTGCTGACCTGTCACCAGGCAACACGTCAGTTTGCTGTGAGATGAGGATGATGAAGATGATAAAGGATGAGAGAC